AACCTTAATGATTCTATGATTCTATATAGGTGCTGATGTGGGCCTTTGCTGTGTCTTCCTAGATAAAGTATATAAGAATATGCTGTGTAAATAGTATTGTTGTGTATAATTCATTTAATACTAGGGCTGTTCAAGGTTGCATGGTAATCTTTCATTTCTTTATTTCCTGGCACTTTCAGATCCTTGCTTTTGCCAACTTCAGTGTTTCTGTTCAGTTTTTAAAATCTGACTATGGCAAGGCATCAAGTTCTCTCAGCCAGAAAGCTTGGAAGAGCTCTGCCTCAGCTTAAAGCGTACTCTTGTCCAGTAGGTTACCTAATAGATTTCTAGTGGGGAGGTTCAAGTTAAATATTGCTGTGAAAGGGAAGTTGTTACCCAAGCAGAAACTAAATTTTTTATCTAAATCTTTTGTTTCCTTGCCAGGCCCTATGCCAGCTTGATCTAACAGACACAGATGTTTACTGAAGAGGAGTTTAAGGAATCAGGAAGCAAGTTTTATCCGTGTTTTTAATGTATTTTATTATATTCATAGAATCATAGGAGAGGTGCTCCAGCCCTCTGATCATCTTTGTGGCCCTCCTCTGGACCCGTTCCAAGAGCTCCGCATCTTTCCTGTGCTGGGGACCCCAGGCCTGGACACAGTACTCCAGATGGGGCCTCACAAGAGCAGAGTAGAGGACACTCACCTCCCTCTCTCTGCTGCTCCCTTACACTTTTGCTTACACAAATTTAGTGTACAACTTTGCTGCTATAATTCTGCTGCTTTATATTGTAATGTTACATGCCTCTAATGGCTCCGTTATCTATGTTAATCATTTACAGTTTATCAGCAGTCTGATATATCTGTTAGTGACTGGGCCTGACAAAAAGAGAACCAAAGTTGTTTCCAGCAAAGGATATCAATGCCATGTATTTTTATGTTGATTATACCTTTTTTTTCCTCATTTTGTGGGCTAGGTTTTCATGATCTCCAGACAAGCGTTATTCTAGATTTTCTTTTCCTTGGTGTTTTACCTTCCAATCATTGGTCATGTTGGGGCTTCATGCATGAAAAGGACCCACAGTGCTGAGTCATGAGGAAGCAATGCTTCTATTGACTTCTGCTGCCAGTTGAGGAGATAGGAGAGAAAAGACTTCTCTGAAAGCAAACATTCAAGAATAAGTTGGAAGCAAATTATCTTGGGCAGACATGGTTAACCAGTGTACCTGCCCATGCTATTTAAAAAGGACTCTTCAGCCTATACTAGAATAAATACAGGATCGTGGCAGATGCATATGACATTTACCTTTTGGGGAAAGAAGAGATCTTGTTTCTCTCTTACATTTTTATCCCTGCTGCATGAAGAGTTCTGCAGAGATCCTGTTCTTCCTAAGAAGCAGCTACCACTGAGCTGCTGGGTTTGCCTGTTCCACCTAAGGCTGCCAAGAGTAAACCACACAGGACCTGAAACTCAGATCTACAAGCAGAGTCCAATAATATAACTTCTAGAGCTTCCCCATGAATGCATGCCCTTTATGCCTACTTTCAATATACCAGAGACAAGAACACATCCCAGGTGTATCCATGTAGTCTGCTTACATCTGTTTAGTCCACTTACGCATGCCCCAGTCACCCTTCTGTGTACGCATCGAGGTATACAGGCTAGCAGAGGACCAACAACTAGCTCATTTACCATCTCAAGCCTGAGGTAGTGTCAGCAGCTCTTTTAGTGTGATGTTTCATTTGGTTGTAAATGGTTATGTCAAACATAGTAAACATTTAGATTTTTGTAGCATGTTAATAAATTTAGATAGCTGGGGAGTGTGGGGGAAGAGAAGGTGGCAAGTTCTACTCCAGGCTTTGGCATTAAATCAGTGATTTTAGATTCTGTGGTAATAAACATGTCTATAAATTGAGAATCAGCTCTACCTACAAGCTGATAATCATCTCTTGTAAAGTTTTTGGACCTCACTGCAAACGTTTTTCATGCAACACTATACAAATGATACTGCTCTCAGGATATGTTGTCTCTGTAGGCGGTGATCAAGTCTGTGTATTTTTGATTGAAGATATATTAGTTTTGGTTCTCAGGTGTATTCATGAACAGAAAAACAACAGGTCTGTTATCAAGCAGCAAAATAATGAGTAATATATCTGTGCTTATCCTGACATCTCCCTGGTAACATTTGTGCGTGTGACAAGAGTCACTGCCCCACATCAAAGGGTACTAAGGATGGTGTTGAAAGCATGAGAGTGCTTTCTCTTACCTAATTTGAAACAGTCTTTTCAAATTAAGTTGAATAACCTAGCCACAACTCATTACTTTTAAAAAAAAGCTTATTCTGTTTTTGCTTCATAGCAGCAAAAATCTGTAAAGTTTATACATGCATTAAGTTGCTTTAACAGCAGTCTGATGATCATGTTCTTAAAATGCTCATGCCAGCACTCTCAGTAAACATCACTAAAGAGATCTTGAAAGGCAAACTGTGATTCAGCAGCACAGTCAATATGTCAAAACTGTGAATTTGTTGGCAACTGGTGTGAACAGGATCTGCTGCTAATTTGTGTTCCAGAGCCACTGTAGGTTGGAGCTTTCAGGGATTTTGATCAGTGGAGTGTCAGGAAAAGCATGCTACTGACTTTTACTTTCCAAATCTGGTTCTTTGAGACAGACACCTAAATACAGGTTTCAGACATGTGCAGGTTCCCTCTAAATTGAAACAGTCTCTAAAATGAAATTTTATTTTCTTTTTGTTTGTTTGTTGTGATCTTACAGGGCATTTGATACTCTGGCAAAAGCATTAAATCCAGGAGAGAGTGCAGCGTGCCAGAACTCTGAAAGTATTGAAGCCAGTGTACAGCTGATTGGTGGGGAAACAAGCATGAATATCGTTGAAATAGAGGGGCCACTACTCAGTGATGCACATGTAGCATTCAGGGTATTTTAAACTTTTTTACTGTTGACTCTTTATAACCATTTTAACATAGTAATATAATGATCTGATCAAGTCTTATTTTGAACTTGTTAGAAGAGTAACTATTTGTTCAGGTACCAGCATTCATTTCTGATGAATGCACTGCTTTTGTTCACCCATTAACTGTTTGTTTGGGAAAATGTACAGCTCTCTTCAGTGGTTTAGCTGCACTGTTTATTCTGTAGCTTCTTTAAAAATACTAGGTAATGTATGCAAAATGATTTACACAAGTGTTGCACAAAGCAGAGAGTCAGCATCCACATTCTCACTTATTAACAGGTGGATCTGATGCAGTCTGCAACTGGATATTGAAACTCTGAAGTGTATACCTTTGTGTATATACCCTCTTTTAGTATGGTATTAATTCACTTTAATCACTAAGGGAAAATAGTTTCCTTTTTTAGTGAGCCATATATTTTCTGGCTTTATTTCTCATTTTACAAGCCTGCAGAAATTCTACTATCCTTTTTTTTCATCATCTTCTTATTCATGGACAAATCAAAAAGCTTTCTTGTCTGAAAACTTCTTCAGTACCAGGAATTTTATTAAACTTTGCCCCTCTGTGCTGGTTTTGGCTGGTATAGAGTTAATTTTCTTCATAGTAGCTGGTAAGGGGCTATGTTTTGGATTTGTGTTGGAAATGGTGTTGCTCACACAGGGATGTTTTAATTACTGCTGAGCAGGGCTCCCACAGAGAGTCAAGGCCTTTTCTGCTTCTCACACCACCAGTGAGAAGGCTGGGGGTGCACAAGAAGTTGGGAGGGGACACAGCTGGGACAGCTGACCCCAACTGGCCAAAGGGATATTCCATACCATAGGAAGTCATGCTCAGCAATAAACTAGAGGGGAGTTTGGTGGAGGGGCCACTGCTCGGGGACTGTCTGGGCATCGGTCAGTTGGTGTTGAGCAATGATTTTCATTTGCATTACTTGTCTTTCTTGGGTTTTATTTCTCTCTGTTATTTTTTTTTTTTTTTTCATTTTCACATATTATTATAGCTATTATTATTATTATCAGGTATTTTACACATCAAAATATTTTTGTTGTATTTATTTGTAAAATATTAATTAAAAGTACAAAAAAATATGTTTTGTGAAATAGAATTCACACACACACACCCTCCCCCAGGAATTGTGGAAACAATTTTTCAGACCACTTATTCCACTCCTTTGGGGGAAGTTTTGGAAAGTAACCATGCCTCTGTGTTTATCTACATGTAAATGTAAGAAACTTAATTCTAATTACAATGATTCTTCTAAAACTTTTATTCTTTGAGAGTGTCTCAAAAGTTGAGTTTTATTTGGGATTTTCCATCTCGATGTGTCAGGTCTCACAGACATCAATATTTATCTAAGATAAAGATACAGAAATTTTGCCTTTTTTGTTGCTTTGTAGTCACTATAGGGTATAACAGTGTGGCTAAGAATTTAAAAGGCAGTCATTCCATTTTATTTCAGGATTCTCTCATGTTTATTTAAAAAACAATTTTACTTTTTCACTTAAAAGAAACTCTAAGACTGATTTTTTTCCTACCATATTTTTTTATGAAGAAAGTAAAAGAACTGACTTCCACTTTTTTTTTTTTTTTTCTGACAGCTCACCATGCCTTCTCCTATGCCTGAATATCTTAACGTTCACTATATCTGCGAGTCTGCCTCCAGGTTGCTTTTCTTGTCCATGCACTGGGCACGTTCCATTCCATCTTTTCAAGCTTTAGGGTAAGTGTTTAGTTACTCATGTTGTGATTACACACTTTTTAGTTTTTTATTTTCACTGTCTTCCTCAGGAATTTTTTAAATATAAATCTACTTACTAAAACTATTCTATAGATCTTCATCATGAAGGTGAATTTTCTGAATCAAAACTACTACCAACTTTAGTCCAATTCAGGTACTTTGGTTGGGTTTTGGAGGAAAAAGGAGTAGATTTATAACAATCAAATGCCTGCACACTGCTACTTCTTCAATAAACTTTTAGTAAATAAGACTTCCTATTGTTTTTTAGTAGCTGCATCCCTAACTAAGATGCTTATCAGGCAGTCACCAAAAAGAAGCTCCTCTCTGGAACCCCAAACATTGTTATCTTTATAGGTTAATTAGTAGTAATAATTTTGCCTTTAATAACCTATATGAAGAAAATGGTTAGCTAGATTCTCCAAGCATTCAGGATTAAGTTGTTTAATTTCAGGGGATTTTCCAAAAAACAAATGGTTGCTGTAAGCAAAAAGTAATTCTCATTCTTTTTACAGTTTGTATAACATGCTGCTTTTCCAGCAGAATTCAGTGTATTACTTAAAATTCTTAAGCTAAATGTAGTGGTACATTGCCGATCATCATGAGAAAGCATCTCAAAAACAGCATGGGGACAAGTGATTTATGTTATTTTCAGAAGTAATTTTATGAAGACACATCAAACAAAGGTACTGTATCAGCTCTGACACAAATGGAGTATAAATCATGTTTGTCCTCATCTACACTGTTTTTCTTTAATTCAATATCAAAATAGTGTATGAGTGTGGCAACAAAGAGAATCCTTTTGAAAGTTAGGGATTGTCCCCTTTTCCAGGAGTGCTATCAAAAGCAGGATGATCTGTGAGTACCATTTGTGTTTACTCAGATGTTTAAGCCCAATGATTCTGTATTGTTTAAGGAAAGATGCTATATTGTGCGTAACTGAAGCCTGTGTTTTGGAGAGGGAAAAAGTAAAATTCTGTAATGTTAAGCTATAGTAAAAAATCAGGTAATTACGATGTTTTACTTTAGTAGAAATTGTTGCCCTGCAGAATTTCAACATATGTAGTAAATTAACATAGTATGTTATGTCATTATACGTTTTTAAAAGGTTTTTGTAAGAAAGACAGCAAATTAGTCTTATAACAAAAAATGGGTATTGCTTTTTAAAAATAAAATGTTGTACAGAATACCTGTCTCCAAAAAGATTAAACAATAAATGCATATAGAAAATCTGCATATTTTTTCAATATGTTACTTTGCAATATATTTTTCTGTTTGAATAAAAAAATGGAGGAGTAGGCCATCTTAATAGTGTTAATATTTACCTGTGCTAGCATTTACAGTCCCAGTTAAGATAATGGGCAACAGTATATTTAAACACCATTTAACACGAATATACAGTTTTCCTTTTGAAGAGCTTAAAATACTAAATTTTTTCAAGTGGAGTTTTATTTTAAATTAATGTAGCTCTTTTATTTGGAGCACATTATGTACTATAATTTTGACTTTTAGAGGGGTGACTCATTTCACTTTTAAAATGAAGAGAAATTCATATTACTAGTTTTTAAGAGGAGTTGACGAGCCAAAACAAAACCATAGTAATGGTTTGGTAAGAAAAATAGATAATTGTATCCAGGTGGTTCCCTCCTCAGGCAATGTTTTCCTTAGTCTCAGCAAGACAGTTGGCTTTGGCATACTGATTTAGTTAATAATACCAAGTTATTGCTTAGTTCATCTTCCTGCACAAGAATCTTTGTGGGCAAGAGAGATTCCTACTGAAACGTTTATCAGGCTGGTGACAGGCTCTTAGTTTTTGTGGGTACTTAAGTTTGATCTGGTGGTTCTGGTCTAGGTTTGGTCAGCTATAAAGTTGACACATTTATCTACACACACACCAGCTGAGTAGCCTGTACACTCTATTTTTGCTGTTTCTCAGCATAGTCCCTTTGACAGGAGATAAATAGGGATGTGACAAATATGTGTAGAAGCTGCATGTACAGTATCATGTCTACCATAACAAGAACTGGATCATAGTGAAAAATACTGCCCTAGGTAAGCTCCCTGTTATACAGTACAGGACAAGTCTACATTAATCTGTCTTTTGGCATTTTAGTATTGCAGTAAATCGTCAGAAATGTTCTTGACGATTACATCAGTGTTCTTGCAAAAATCCATTCCATTGTATTAAAGTTGAAATCCTAGCTTTAATATACTTTTCTTCTTTGATAGGTCTTGTGCTTGTTTTAAATTGCCATTATTTATATTTACTGGCTAAAACTGTGAAACATGGTACCTGAATTTGACTCCTCACTGGTAGGATTTCCCTTTTAAGGTACTGAGCTCTTGTTAAGCTCTAGAAGTTAGAGATGCTTGGCAATACTGAAAATTAGGTTACTAATATGGAAATGCCTGAATATGGGTTGATATACCTAATTTTAACCTTCAGCATTTGAAAAAAAAATATTGACTACATGTGAAACTTAATTTAAGGACTAATTCTTACAGCAAAGAAATCCTCATTACTTCTATTTATACTTTGAAGTCTGTATTTCAAACCGTATTCCAAACATGAAGGAGATAAAAAAGTAGCAGTCAGAAAGCTCAGGATCTTGATCTCATATGTTCCAATTCACATGTATTTTTAACTAAGAAGTTGTACCAACCTGCCAGATTTCAAGTTAAAAAAAAGACCTCTGAGTCTAGTCTGCATCCACAGTACTGGAACAATGCAAAATTTTTGTCCATGCATGTAAACGTTATTAAAAAATTAGTGTAAATCTTAAGAACACTAGCATGATGGAATGTGCCCCGGCCATTGTCATTTAGCATAACTTCAGCTTGCATTTGTAATAGAAATCTCTCTCCTTTTAGATCATTAAAACAAAACTTACTTCTTTACAAAAGTCACTCTAAAACAGGTATTTTAAACCTAGCATGCGAATAAAAATATATTTTGATGCAGGGCGTCATTTTGGTACTGGTTGCAATGTTGAATTAGATGAAAGTTTTATGAAGTTTTCTTCAAATTAAAAAAAACTATGTGAATGCAAATGGCTGGTTTTATTAAGTGAAATTATTGTATTTTTTAATAGACAGGATAACAGCATATCATTAGTAAAAGCCTGCTGGAACGAACTTTTTACGCTTGGTCTTGCACAATGTTCACAAGTTATGAATGTGGCAACTATATTAACTGCATTTGTTAATCACCTTCATGGCAGTTTACAGCAAGGTAAGGTGTATACTGTGCACATTGCCAGACTTGGGGAATTCATGGGTTTTAAGTTTTTAACTGCACAGAAGCTTTTTATTTATCCTTCAGTTGTTAATTAAAATTTCCTTTATAGAGTTTTGTGGTTAGTATTGAACCAAAATGATACTAGAATATACAGTTCACAAGATGGAAATTTTTAGTAATTTTGCAAAAGTCAGCTATGCTAATACCCCCAAATTAAAAAAAAAAAATAAATAAAGTTACCCATCTATCTAACATAGGTTGACACTTACTAGTGTTGTTTTTATTGCCTGTCGATGTAATGTCTAATAGTGTTCTGCTGTTCTGTTAATATACGTCAGCTCAAATTAGGAATATTTTAGGCAGCATCAGCATTAAGAACACAAGTGTACTGTGAATATGATTCCTCTGTATCAAGGGTATAAAGTAAAGAATAAGCCACCTGTCCTTGCTGTTCATAGCTGTGAAACAAAGAAGCTGAATGCCAACTTGGTGCTATACTTCCTTTACATAACTTGGCTTGTTGGCTTCTGTATCCTAGTTTTAGACTACATGCAAGTCTTCAAAATATCTTCACTAAGTATACTTCATTCCGTATTAATCCTATGTCCAGCATGTCTTGCATATTTTTCATTCAAATGAAAGAGATTAAGTTGGCCTTCTCTTTCATTTACAGTGAAGGAAATGCTCTGAGTGGTAGGGGAGCCTTTAAGCTAACCTGTGTGTGCTTGTGAATGCTCACAACATTGTCAGCACTAAAAGCTGTCCAATCAAAAATAGTATAATCTTCATCCGTTCATGGTCTTAACGCATTTTTTATAAGGTAGATACTCATACAAAAACATTATAATTTTCAAGTTTAACTAGATTTTAGGGTTATTTGCTGCTACGTGTATGAAAATTCACTGTTGTTAATGCTATGGAAAAACAGGTTGGTAAGCTGTAGAAAAACAGCCTGCAAGACTATAGGTTTTTCCTCTCCTTTTATGAGAAGGGAAATAAATAATTATTTCTGAGAGGTTTTCATGTTTTAAAAATATCCACAAAATCTTCCTAGAAATAACAAAATTAAAACAATTAACAAAACAAGTTGTTTAAACCATTAAATGTAAGGGATCAGCTAAGCATATTAACAGATAAATCTGTGAATGTCTTTAGGAGGGATACAAATGGAATTTGGGAACTTAACTTCACTCTACGTAGTTTTTAAGCATGCTCACCAAAAAGTGTATTGTAGTAATTAATCATGGTTTTATCATTACTACAAATATATATTTTTTGCCATTCAATTTGAGAATTCAGTGTGAATGCACAAATCAGAAATTTATATTGAGTGGCTTCCACTTGTGTAGTATGCCAGCTGCTGCATCTCCAAGAGATAACAAGATTGTGGGGCCCAGAGACCCTAGTTTGATGGATTGTGAAGGAAACAGGATTTTCAGGCTGCTGTAGCTATTGCTGACCCAAGGGGAACAGCTCTGCACCAACCACATTCCCGTAGATGCAGATCAGGAAAGGTGTATGGTGCACTTTCTTTTCCAGCAGTGCCATGAAACTATACACTAGGCTGCCTCATGGCATCTGACTCTTAGATATAGGGCATAGATCTGCAGTAACAGTGTGTTCTTTATAAATAAGTAGTCTTTCCCTTCCTTAATTTCAAGCTCTGGTCCACCTCTGATTATTGGAAGCTTTAGTGGCAGGAAAAGACCTAATTGTACAACTTTAATAAAAAAAAAAGGGGAGAAAAAAGATCATTATAGTCCATAATTGTTTGTGTCAAGATTATTCAGACCCAGTATGTGAGTTCAGAGATGGCATAGATTTCTCACTGTTTGAATCTAATACAAATCATTATTTTTAAAAATCCAGTGTGACCGCATTTTTTTGCATGTACATTGACTTGGGGTTTTGATATTTTATGTGTGTGTTGACTTAGATAAGCTGCCAACAGACAGAGGAAAATTAGTAATGGAGCATATCTTCAAATTGCAAGAGTTCTGTAACAGCATGGTTAAGCTTTGCCTAGATGGTTATGAATATGCATATTTGAAAGCAATCGTCCTCTTCAGTCCTGGTATGTAATTATTCCAAATGTAAAACAATTGTATGCTCAATTCATCTATGCTATTTTTTGCCATATAACTCCTGCCTGTTCCATTATATGCAGTTACTATGACCTGTAGAATTACTGCCTATATTTTTTGAGGAATCTAGGAAGGTATGTAGTGATGACTGTAGGAAGAGGAGGGTTAGTCTTTTAATGTAAATAATAGAGTGCTGCCTTGGAGACTTAAGTTTTACTCTTGCCTCTGCTGTTGATTTTTTTTTTAAAAATTGTAGTTATTGCTTTTAATTCTGTGCCTCCTTTCTGGGGTACTTTTCCTGAGGACCTGCAGTTTAATTTTCAGAAGTGTTACTACTGTATGTCCAGCTGAGATGGATTGAAGTTGTGTTTTTAATGCATGAAAGACTATCTCTTCAGGCATCAATTCTCCCATGCAAAATTACAGAAACATATCACCTCACTTCACATGGGTATTTTGAAAATAAATATTACAGAGGGCATTTCTGGTGAAGGAACAACACAAACATTCCTTATATTATTTTTTTCTTCCTTCTGAACAGTATTTGTGTAGTGTATTCCAAGTAATGTTAATGGACATACATTAGACAGTGAAGACAAACTAAAATAATGATTATTTTTTAATTCTGGGAGATTAGTCTACAATATGGAGGAAGAAGGGTCCTCTGGTTATAACAGCTAGTGAGTGAATAGTTAGATAGGTAGCACATATGCCTGAACTGTAGAAAATTACAAAATTAATTTTCTTTATTTGAAAAGTGTAGAATTAACTTTTCACTAAAGGCATTCAGATATTATATCAGTATACTGCGGGTCTTAGATTCACCATTCAGAATGTAGGGACTTAATATAAAACCAAAACCAAATCTCTTGATAAAAGAAAAATATAAATTTCAAGTGCTTTATGTATCTCCAGGAATTTTTCACTGTCACATTTAGAAAGTACATCTTCAGTAACTCCATTTTGCATTAGAAAGTTTTAAAAGCATTGACAGTTTCTTTAATTCTCACTGCTCTGCCTTTTTTAGATTCTGATGTCCCATAGAAAAGATCAGAGAAAATTTTTAAAAGCTGTATGAATCTTAGTGACCTGCCCATCATCGGTAGTGCAGTATTTGGAGAACTGGGTATTTGGTTCTTGTCAGTTCTGTAGATTTATTAGATCTGAGAAGAACTTTCTTTTCCATTCAATTTCAGATCACCCTTCCACAGAAATTAGTTGAGGTGAGAAAATATTCTGGAACCTGAACACTCCAAAAATGAAAATTTTAAGCAGGATTTCAAAA